ACAAAGTATATGGGTAATGTTTGGTCCAGAGGTGTTAGGTGGTTGAGAAGCACATTAACTCCATCATTGGTTGTCATAAGAATACTGAAAAAACAATGTTGGTTGTAAGAATTGTACACCATTATGGTGTCTGAGGGGACATCTGGAGAACTGGAGGGGTCCTGGTGTTCCTTGTTTAATCTGTCTTGAAGAGGAAGGACTTCCTCATAGAGTCTGTCTGGCTACTTAAACAGTAGAAAATGTAAGAAAGAGGAAGATCCTTCATAAAGTGGTGCTTTTATGTGGAATACTGGATCCTTCTGGTACATCACAATATGGCCTCAGTACTGTAGAATAAATTAGCTTGGTGATTCCTGGATGCGCTAAGGAGCTTACAACAAGTTGGAGTAGTGGAATGAGGAGATGTACAAAGCATCAGATGGTCCATCTCACACTTGGAAGGATATGGATGGAAGGTACTCAAAGAAGTCAAGGATGTCACTGGTCTGATGGAAAATATGCAAGTACCTTTTGTTCATCTTGGAGTACATAGGCATCCAATTTGTATGCACAAATTTGATGACAGTCGCAGAGAGCTTCACTGTTATTCTTCTTTCCTTTGTAGCATAACTCTCTTATATATGAACTTTCTGCTTTTCTCCATAAGAAAATAGTTAGTTATCAAAGATAAGTGAGTATTGTTTTTCTGTTTGTATCATTTGTATCATTAACAATTGTTTTCCCCCTTTATAAAGAAATCAAAATTAGAAAAACAAACAGTATATGTGTATCCTATCTCATGTCATGATAAATATTTTTCTGTTCATGTGACATTTGATTGTCTTAATGGTGTGGTATAAAAGACATTGGTTTATTTTGTTCAGGAAACTTTGATGGAATTTCGTGCTGGTAAAATGCTCATGGAGGGCAAAAAGGTTATCCCTGATTCACGGAAAGGACTTGTTCGTATAGGCAGGGTATGGGAAAAGCAATCATATTTGATTTGGTTTATCATTTTTCTTGCTCACCCAAGTTTGAGACCTTGTTTAGTTTACATGGTGGTGATCTTACAAAATGTTGCTTGACAATTGTCTAAATTCCTATTGTGATAAGATGTCATTTTGATATTTTAGGGTGAAGAGGGACTACTCCATTTTCAGTGGCTTGACCGTAATCTCAACATTGTTGAAGATGTATCCTAGTTCCAGCCAAATATTTGTGAAGTTTGTTATTTGATGTTGCTTCACTTTGATTTTATTGATCGTTGCTCTTATTCTGCATATGGTACCATTCATAGTGATTAAACTGTAAATCTGAAAGTTGTTTCTTGACAAAAGTTGATCATAGGATCAGATTGTTTTCCCAGAGGAGGCAGTCTTTGAGAAGGTATTTCTATTCCCTGTTGCTTGTTACTCAGATTGCTGAAAAACTGTTCAAGTTCAATTTCAACAAAATAAATTCTGTGATTATTAAGATGAAGTTCACAACATACAGAATCAATAGTGTCTAGTGACCAATGACCGACTTTAAACTTTATTTCCAATCTAAATGTTCACTTTTCACTTACAAATTACAAGAGGTTCAAACTTCCTCCATTTGAAAAAAAATCCTTAAAATCATCGTTTAGAGGTTTACTTCATTAATATCTGATGCTAATTCATTGTTTTTCGAAACTCTTCAGGTCAATCAATCATCTGGAAGGGTTTACATTTTGAAGTTCTGTACCGACGATAGAAGGCTTTTCTTTTGGATGCAGGTCATATCTGTTGCCATAGATATCACTTTATGTTTTTGAATTTTGTGATCATGCTTTGAGTTTGTGATAAAATTTTCCTTCATTTCTTACCAGGAGCCAGCAGCTGACAATGATGCACAGTTATGTAGCTCAGTCAACTTCTACTTGAATCAACCACTAGGTAATCAAGATTTATTCAGTGCCTGTCTTTCTGGGTTTTAATTCTTACTATTTTATTTTCCTTTGTCTTCACTTTTATTTTGCTTTATGTCCTTTCTGAAATTTAGTAACTTGAAAAAGTTGGTTTATTGAAAGAATGATAACTTCTCCTACCTTCTCCTACCAACCTAGTTTAGGATTACATGAACTCAACAAATATTAAGATTTTTCAAGTTGTCAAGGCCAATATATTCTTTTAGTCTCTGCCTTAAATTCTTTTCTTTCCTCTCTGCCTGTTGTCAATCCTGTAGACCTAAATGTATTAGCTGTCGACTAGCCATCCCTTGTCTCTTTTCCTTCTGATATAGTTTGTAAGGCTTCTGCATCATGGACTTACAATGTGACTAGCTTTTCTTCTCCCTTGTTTAATTGTTAATTTGATTTCAATTCATAAAATTATTCATAAAGTCAAGTGTCATTATGGTTCTTGACGTTTTTGATTTATTGATTATTTGCTGTTCTGTGTCGAGCATGAATGTTACACCTTTATGAAATTTCAAGTGTGGCAGTAGTTGACTGGTTGTAACAACATAAAGGAGCTGAAAATGGAATTTTAATTTGGGGAATGCACTCTAATATGTTGTTCTAGTAACTACATTTGGATGATGTTAATGGGCGTTTCATCTATATGACTTCTATAATTGGCAGAGTGGAAGTTCATTTTTATTTTTTGAGAAGGTAACTGTGGAAGTTCATTTAACGTACCTGTTTTAACCTAGGTAAAATTTAACTTGTTTGAACAGAGTTTCCTGGCGAAGATGAGCCTGAAGCTTCAGCTCCTTTACCAAATTCTGAAGATATGGTAGAAGAAGATATTTCATCGAGGTAATACTGATATCATTGAGAAGTATAAGATCTGTTTTTGATGTTGCATCTTGTCACAAAAATGGGGGAGATTCACATGCTAACAAAGATTTTTAAGAACTGATGCAAATTGGTTTGCCTCACTTCACTTTTACTGAAGAACACAAGCAACTTAGTTCGACATTGAGTCATAGTTGATTACAAAAACTACTACTAAATCCCAGTCAGAATTAAGTCAGATCGGATATATAATTCCTCACTAACCATGCTGCTACAATAATAAACTTAGAGCCCGTTCAGATTGAGCTTAAATTGTTTCTTTAACTTTGTAAAGTCATTTTAAACTTATTTTGAGTTATTTTTAACTTTGCCAAGCACTCTCTAACTTAAGAAGTCATTTTTGACTTATTTTAAGTTATTTTTATATTTGCCAAAAACTTCCACTTAAAAGTAGATTGGACCAAGATGTTGCTCGGACTTTTCAAAAATGTCATCAGGTGCGTGTCGGATCCTTCAAAAGTAGTGCATTTTTGGAGGATCTGACATGGGTGCAACAACATTTTTGGAGAGTCCGAGAAACTTAGGTCCTGAGACAGTTGAATAATTTCTTTTCCTTCTTGCATTCCTTTTAAGTAGTAGTACACAACCATCTTCATTTCTATGAAGTTGCTAGAGGCTGGAAGTTATCATTTAAAATGTTCTGGATTACCTCTTTCAGGGCGGGGAATTTGGTTAGCGCAAGCATGAATACTGAAGCAAGTAGCGATGTGACATCTTCAGGCCCAGTAAAGTTGTCTGATCTTCAAAGAATATTGAGTAATATAGGGTCCTCAGGTTCAGTTGACTTACTTCCCTTCAACTTTTCTGAAGTTTAACTGTTTAACAATCTCTTTCAATCAATCTTCATGTGGACCTAATACTATTTCTTATGGTTGGTACAGATGAAGCTGTAGATCCTGATGCAGGTAGGCAATTGATCAACTCATACTTTCTGTTGGTTGTTTTTTTAATGCTTGGGCAGCACGCCATAGTTCACTATTTTGTGGTTGAAAGGATTTTGAGGTAGTTAAACCGTTGGTGAGATGATTAAAATTAAAGTAAAGAATATTTGTTAACAAATTTTATGGTATTGTTATGAATCCTTAGGCAAGGATTGATTCACAGGGCGATAGTATATTACTTCAGCTCACTAGAGTCTGAAACCTTAGACTTCAATGGAAGAGAGAACTTCGATCTCTTCAGCTCTTTAAGCGAAGGCTAAAACCTTAGAGTTCAATGCGAGAGATCACTTTGATCTCTTCTTTTTGCTGAAATATGACTCAATAATTTATTCATGAGAAACCCCTTTAAATAAAAGTCTTATTTTTTGAACTTGATAACTTTGTTAAATAAGAGTTTTATTACAGATAGGAAGTCTAATCCTTATAATAATAGGAAAACCTGAATCCTATTCCAAACTCATAACTATAGCTTGAACTAATCCTTATGAAGCTGTGAGACATAAATTCTGCTTTAGAATAATAAATAAAGCTACTTGAAATATAAACAAATAATAAATAAATCTACTTAAAAATATAATTAAATGCTCAATTAAATGAGTCCCCGCATCCACTACATTACTCCATTCGCGTTGAAAGAGCTTGTCCTCAAGCGCAAATTTCAGGGAAATCATCCAAAAATTCTGGAATAAATTTCAACTCTATCAGATTGCTGAAGCATGACTATTTCTCAGATCAGATTGCTTTTTTCACGAGGTCCAAATTGCTCTAAAAATTGTTCACAACGATGTGCCCAAATAATAGATTGTTGATGCTATTAAAACTAGGAAAATTCATCTTTGTATAACTTGGCACTATCGGATGTGAATTACCACTTGTTGGATGATTTTTAGCGGCAGTTGAATAGTTTGTGTATAACAGTTAGTAGCATGAATTGTTGATATGCTTGTCATCTCTGTGCTTTGATTTATGTCTATGGGTTGGTAGTTTTGTAGAGCCAACTCCCAATCTAGACAATTCTTCTTGAATGACTTGGATAATTCTTTCATCGAGGTGTGGTTCCATTGCTGCAATTTTAGAGTTCATTTAGGTTTCTTTAATGACACTCTCTTCTCAAATTTGGAACTGATCTCTATCACCCATTCTCTGATATCAAATGTTATGAATCTTTAGGAAAGGATTGACTCACGGAGCGATATATATATTCAACTCATTAAAGGGAGGTTGAAATTTTGGAGTTCAATGGGAGAGAGAATGGTGATCTCTTTTTTTTTGTTTTTGATATATGACTTACTGATTTATTCATAAGAAACACTTTCAAATAAGAGTCTTATTACAACAATAGGAAGTCTAATCCTTATGAAAGTAGGAAACCTAAATCCTATTCCAAACTTATAACTATAGCTTAACCTAATTCTTATGAAGCTATGAAACATAAATCCTATTCTAGAATAATAAATAAAGCTACTTAAAATATAAAAAATATAAATCTACTTGAAATTTAATTAAATTCTTAACTTAATTGAGTAACCCACATCCACAACAGGTATACAAGACTAAAAGCTTGATGTCTAATTTGCTTCCTTAACTGCCTTCTAATTTTCTTCTAAGGGTATTGTTGGGAAAGACAAACACTAACGAAGGTGCACGATAGAGTAATATCGGAAGGATACTGAAGTCTAAATTTTCCCTTCTATTTGAATCAAAAGAAGACAAACAAATTCAAGCACAAGCAACGTTTTGGGCAGCAAGTATATCAACAAAATAAATATGAACTAAACCAACCATACAAAGACACAAAGATTTACGTGGAAAACCTCTTTGGAGTGAAGAGTAGAAACACAGGACCGAAGCTCCACTGTGATCAACAAGAGTTACAATACGTTTCCAAAATGACCACCAAAGAATTGCCAAATATCGAGCAACAATAACTACTACAAGATAGCACCAAAGAACTAGAGAAGTATATAATCACCAAAATGCAGCTACTGTTCACGAATTGAAAAAATAGAGCTACATGACATTGAATTACCTTTGACAGATCTCAATTAAAGATTAAAATTAAGTGAATTAGCTTTTTAAATATCTGCTCAATTAGACAAGGAACGAAGTAGGAATTGCAATTTGAAATTGGCTGCTAGAGCTGAAAGTTTTTGGGCGAAAATCTACACTCACTTTTTTCTCTATATGTTTGATAATCTCTACTCTTGTATATCTGGAAATAATACCTTAAAGGAAGTCTTAATATGCACCATAGTATTGGGTTTATGGGCAAAATTGGGTTGATCCAAATTACGCTTTCATTTATCCTCATAGGAAAGAAAAAAGACCCAAAATCTGACAATTCTCTCCCCTCCCTACTATGTGGAGAAGATCACTATCCTGACAATTATGCAACATTCTTCTAACTTCCCTATTGGCAAGTCTTTAGTCATCATGTCGGAACCATTATCATCAAGTTCAAGCAACCATTTTTTTTTGAGAAAGGTAACATTTACTTCTATACATCCACAGGTATACTACATCAAAGTGTAGTTCCCCACCAAAAATTATACTTACATCAGCCCTAATATCTTCTAGTTACAGCCAGTCAATAACATTAAAAACATCTTCAGAATTTTCTATTACTACTTGCTTACACCAAAAATAATAAAGACCTAGGCAGTTTATCTTTATCTTCTGAATATTGTTGTTCTTTTCTTCAAAACATCTTTGATTCCTGTCATTCCAAATTGTCCACCAGATGCATGTTGGGTCAATCCTCCATCTCTCCTCCTCTTTTCCTGCATTTCCATCACTATTCCAGCATTTTAGAACTTGTGTGATTCTCCCTGGTTTTGTCCACTTGATCTTCCTTTTGTGAATGAACATCTGCCATAATTGATCTGTCCATTTGCAATCTAAAAAGAGATGGTTGACTGTCTCCACCTGTTCTTCGCATAAATAACATCTAGAGGAAAGGTTGTGTTTCCTCTTGTTCAAGTTTTCATGTGTCAAGACTTCCTCCTTTGCCAAAAGCCATGTGAAATAATTCACCTTGTAAGTTCAAGCAACCTAGAATCCAACACATCTTGAATCCAATAGTATCTCACATCAATGTATTTAGATCGACCATGAAATGTAAAATTCTTGCCAAGGTGAATTAACACTTTGACTATTTAAATAAAGCACATGCTTCTCCTTGGCACAACCAAGTTCCCCTAAGAATCTCTTCATCCCGAGCAACTCGTAAGCTAAACTTCTGTAGTAGATAGAGCAACACGTATTTTGCAATCTAGAATTCCAAGACACGACTCTTCCTACAAAAGTAATCAAGTAGCCTAAAGTAGACTTGCGAGTATCAACATTATCGACAAAATCTGAATTAGTGTAATCACAAAGAATAGGCTTTCCTGGCCATAACACAAACTCATACTAGATTCGCCATAAAAATATTTTATGATTCGACAAGATCAAAGCAGTCCATGATGTGAAATGGAATTGTCTGATGATTTTATTTTGTTGGTGTAAACAAAACTATATAGAGGAAATAGAGGAGTTAGAAGTGTCATTAAAAAATAGAGGAGTTAGAAGAATTTCTAGGAGCTTGGAAAAGCTGGAGTCTACTTGCTTTGTAGCATGTTTTGATGGTGGCCGACATTCCCAATGCTGAAGAATACAACAATACCAATCCTAAAAAAAAAATCTCATAATCCACTTCACGACATTCGAATACTCTATTCATAGATTAGAAAGGAAACGACTAACAATACCAACAACATGAGAAATATCTGGTCTTTTACACAGTGTTGTGAAAAGCGCGCTTCAAAGCGACGCGACACCAGTGCGCTTCTTTTTCCTGAGGCGATGCGATCTGAAAAAGGCGCTCGCTTCAGATAAAGAAGCGAGAAGCGACACTAAGGCAAAAGCGCGCTTTTTATAAAAAAGCGACAATTAGTTTTTTTTAAAAAAAATTAGTTTTTTTTTAAATCTGAAATATACAATATAACTTAATTTTTCTTTCACGACTCTTCTTTCGCTTCTTCTCTCTTCACGACCGCGCCTGAGACTGTGTCTCTCTTCACATCTCGACCGCGACTGCAGGTAAGTTTTAACCAATGTTTATTAGTTCATCTCTATGAGTTTCTTTTCTTTTGAAATATAAAATCTTCGCCTTTGCTTCATCTCTGTGAGTTTCTTTTCTCTTCACGATGCGACTGCTGTAGTTTTTTCTTCTTCTTCTCTTCATCTTTGCTGCGATCTGCTCAGTTTCTGTTCACAATTACTGACTGCCTCCTCCGTTTTTTTCAATTCTTTTGCTTTTTTTTTCGTTTTTATTTAGTGATCAGTGTGTATGCTAGCAGCTCTTTTTTTATTATTTTTTGACACTTCTGATGATGAAGAAGATGATGACCAATTATAACCCTTGGTTATGACACTTGACGAGTTTGAAGATCTTGTTGAAGAATAGGAGTTCGAGTCTTTGTGATTTAATTATGTTTTTGATTTTTTGCTTTATATGTTATGACTTATGAGTATTATTGACTATCTATTTTCTTTTAATCTAAATAAGACTATATTACCTCTATTTAGTTATTTGATATTTTTTTATTTTTATACTAAATGTCGCTTTTTTTTAAAAAAAGTACGCGCTTCGCTTCTCACTTCTGTAAAGCAAGCCCTCGTCGCTTTTTTCCGCTTCTCGCCTCCCAAAACACTGCTTTTACACACCATTGAATACATCAAACTATCAACAACTTAAGCATAAAGAGCTTTCTCATATATTCCTTCTCACCATTCATTATTAGGATACTGCTTCTTGTTCAAACCTTAGCTTTGTCCATGTTGAACTCACGTATTTCTCTTGTGATAGCCACAATTTCTTGGCCTCCTGTCACGGACACAACCTGCATGCCAAGAATCTGTCTTGTTGGTCCCAAGTATTTCATAGCAAAAGGCTTATTCGACTCTTGCTTCAGCTTTCTGATCCAACAAGCATTATGATCACCAACAAACATGTCACCAATATATAACAAAACAATGATAGAGTTACTATCATAGAGTTTTTGCACAAAAACACAATTATCTGAAGGAGTCTTCTTGAGGCCCCGTTGACCCATAAAAGAACCAAACTTCGTGTACCCATTGCTTGAGAGTTTGTTTTAGACCATACAAGCTCTTGTTCAGTTTACAAACATAATTTCCTTTTCGCTCAACTTCAAAGCCTTGTATGCTCCATATAATTTCTTCATCTAAGTCACCATGGAGTAAAGTAGTTTTAACATTCATTTGCTCAACCTCTAAATTCAGATTTGCAGCTAAGCCAAGAACCATGCAAATGGATGATATCTTCACAACGGGAGAGAAATATCTCATCAAAATCAACTCCTTTCTTTTTTTTGATAAATCTCTTCACAGCTAATCTAGCCTTGTATCATGGAACTGGGTGGCCATCTTCATGTGTCACCCTGAAGACCCACCTGTTTTTCTAAGCTTTTTTGTCTTTAGGTAGTGTATGATTATTATGTAAAGATTTAATCTCATCTCCCATATCATCAAACCGTCTTTCTTTTCCTTCGCTTTCCATGACCTCGTCAAGACTCTCAGGTTCTCCCCCGTTAGTGAAGAGTACATGCTCATTTGCAGAATAACAAGATGAAGGTATTTTCTCTCTTGTAGATCTTCTGAGAGATCTCTCAGGTTCATCAATAACATGCACCAATAACAGTTGGTTGTTGGCCAACCATATCATCGTGCACTGGAGCATTGATATCAGACTGGTCACTTTGAGTATGATAACCATCTTCAAGAAAGCTTGATTTGCTGGTGTTGATGCATTCCGATTTGTGTGATCCTTTTAAGATAAGGTCTCATGGTGGTGCACTATATTGGTCCTTTTGATAAAATATTGTATAAAGCAGGGTCTTCGGCTATGTGGATAAATAAAAGTCCAATTTGGAGTCCACTTTTGCCCATAAGCACACTAAATGGTGCATATGTAAGACCTCTTTAATTGTCTTATTTTCACATATAGATAGAGATTAACAACCATATAGAGAAAAGTGTGAGTGTAGATTTTTGCCCAAAATCTTTCAGCCCTAGCAGCCAATTTCAAATATTGGTTCCTGGTTCATTCCTTGTCCGATTGCATTGATATATGGGCAGCTTGTTCATTTTATCTTAATCTTTGATTGGGAAATGACAGAGGTGGATTTGGAGTCCCATAGCACCAGATTTCAGCTCGTGCACAATATATGTGTTTTGGTGATCTTACTCTATTTCTCAAGTTCTTTGGTGCTATCCCATCGTTTGACCTTTCTTTGGTGGCCATTTTGGAGAACATATTGCAACTCTTGTTGATTATAGTGGAGCTTTGGTCCTGTGGTTTCCACTATGCAGAGGTTTTCCACCTAAAATCTAGGTGTCTCGTTTGATTTGATGTAGTTTTTTCTTGTCATATTCAGTTTGCTGATATACTTGCTGCCCAAAGTGTTGCTTGTGCTTGAATTTATTTGTCTCCTCTTGATTCAAATAGAAGGGAATGTTTAGACTTGGTTATCCTTCGCTATTTATTACACTGTCGTGCATCTTTGTTAGTGCTTTATTTCCCTACAGGTTCTCCTTTCCATCTTTTCATTTTCTTTATCCTTGCAATTGGAGAACAACATCTTTACACTGTCATGCACCTTTGTTAGTGCTTTATTTCCCTACAGGTTCTCCTTTCCATCTTTTCATTTTCTTTATCCTTGCAATTGGAGAACAACATCTAGGGTTTGAGTATAACAATATTCTTTTTCACTGGAATGAAACCAAGATCTGGACATTCATGTAATACAAAAAAATATAGCATACACACCATTTACTTTAACTTCGTGTCTTGCTACTGTATCAGGATTGGGATTGGGAGATATTTTGAGGCCTGAGCTCATATTACCACTGATCGAGGAAATACCACTAGAAGAACAACTAGCTTCACACTTGCCAGAGGTAAAAAATTGGCTCTTGGTACGCAAGCTACAAGGATTACAGTGCTGATGTTATCTTGAAAATTCTTATGTTTGCACAGGGTCATTGGACACCATATGAATTAATGGAATTGCTACAGAGTCCTCCGTTCCGTCAGCAGTTAGATTCATTTACTTATGTGAGTCATCAAAATCTCATTTTTTTCATTCAGCTTTTTTGGTATGCTTGCAGGTTATGTCTGTAAATTGACTCTCTTCTCACTGCAGGTTCTTCGAACTGGACAAATAGATCTGACTCAGTTTGGAATTGATCCAAGCCAATGTAAGTAAAACATTGTTTGATAATTCATTTCAAGCTGAAAGGAATGAAACACACTAATTTCTATTGGTTAATTATTTTATATGCTCCATATTTTGCCTACTTTCTTTCATCTCTTTTAAAACTTAAGCAAGGATGCTTATAATCAGTGACCTGTATGTATACATGACTTGCTTTCATTAAAAAATATTGACCTTTACTTTAATGGAAGATTCTTCTCCGTGCAACAATTTCAACAAATTATAATCTTCGATGATCCAAATAGTGACATCATCCAAAATTTTATATATTGTAAATTCTAAGCCATTCTTTAACTGCTGCTGTACTATATTTTGTAATCATGCGATAAGTGGGTGAAATATGAAATTTGCCTTTTGCAGCTTGAGCTGCGGCTCATGTGAAGTGTAACTCTGTCTATCTAGTTCACAGCTGGTTATACCTCTGTTTGTGACCCTTACTGTACTTTGTTTCTCATTCATTTCTGATGCACTAGATCATATGCTTCATCAACTTAATTATCAGTGTCGTTTTTAGTTTAAAATTGGTTAATTTTCATACATGATTGCTGCAGATAAGTTGACGGTTCCATCTTTTCTGGAGGCCCTAGAAGATTCTGTTTCCAAGGGATCAGGTTCCAATGAATCAAGGCAAGATGAGAAGGATTTAAGATCTCAAACGTGCAACAGAAGTGATCCCATGGATGAAGGGCATTAAGATAAACAGTGCAAATCAAGACTCTTGTGAAGTGATCACAATATTTACTTGAAAGAAATGATTTTCAGATGATGTGAACATGTTAAAAGCACTGTAAAGAAGTATTTATTCAGGGTGACATAAGTTGTGTATTGTTAGAGGTGATAGACATTCAAGTCATTTCCAATTATGTGTCCATGTATGATGTTTCAACACCAAAGTTTGAGGTTCTATCGCTTTATTCATTGGATCTCGAAATTGTCTTTTTCCTCCCACCTATTTTCGAAGAACATATTTATTGACTGTTTGGTCAAGCATCTCGAATTCTCGATAGCTAAGTGTCTTTTTGAAAATATTTGAAAGTTTGTTTTAGTGAATTGAGGCGTTTGGTCAAGTTTTTAGTAGTAGAAATTATTTTTCTGAGTTGAAAAAGTAATTTTTCCCAAGTATTTTTTAGTATCTTGACCAAACGCTTATTGTTGTTCTAATATTGATAAAGGTGTTTTTCTTTTATTTGATCAGTCCAACATAAATTGTTGTATATTCTTGAAAAACATTCCTATTTGTAATAGATACTTGAAAATAAACAAAATTGGAAAGTTTTGCCAATTAAAGTATTAGCCCCATGCAGTTTGAAATTTTATACAGGAATTAGGGGAAGCAAAATGATTAAAATTTAAATGTTAATTCTTGTGTCAAAACAAATCGAAGGTTGTTATTAGGAGTAGCAAATTAGCAGGTCATATTTTAAATGAGTAAATACGAGTTACCCATATTTTCCAATCGATCTACTTTTTTCAAATTTAAGGAAAATAACTTACCTCAAAAAAATAAAAAAAATATTTTACAAAACTCTTTTTCAACCTTATACCTCAAATTTCCACCATAACTCAAGTCTAGAAAATCAATTTCCGATACTAATTCAAAATCGATCTTTGGTTCTCAATTCAAGACCCGAATCCCAACATCGACTCGAGACTCAACTCCCAAGTCTTGAGTCAAATCGGGGTTGAATCCCAATTTAGGGGTTAGGTCTTGAATAGGGAGTCAAGATCGGGTCCCACATTAAATGTCAGGATCGTCTCATGTTTCAAAATTGGGTCTGCATTTAGGTGTCGATTCTTGGGTTAGGAAGTGAGAAGTTAAGTCTCAAATAGAGTGTCGTGGTTGGATCACAATCGATAGTCAAGGTCGTGTCTAGATTTTAGGCCGGGATCGGGTTTTAGGGTTGGGATCTGATTAAGAAGTCGGGTTCCTAGAAGAAAGTAGAGGTTGGGTCCCAAATTATTCATTAGAGTTGCGTGTCGGGGTTAGATCTCAGGTTAGGTGTTGGGGTTGAGTCCCGATTCAGAAGTTAGAGTCAGATCTCAAATAGTTTGTCATGGTTGGATGCCACAATCTCCGATTCAAAATTTATATCCTTAATTGAGTGCTATAATCGGGTCTTAATTTGGAAGTCGGTTCCAAGGTTGAGAGTTGGGGTCAAATCTTGATTTGAAAGTCGGATCCTAAGTAGAGAGTCGAAGTGGGATCCCAATTTACTTGTCGGGGTAGTGTTCTGATTTGGGTATCAGAGTCGAATTTTAAATCGACATTCAAGGTCAGATCCCAGGTCAGCGTTGAGTTGGGTTCCCAAATAGATCGTCGAGGTGGGATGTCAATTAAAAAATCGAATCCCAGTTCAGGTGTCACAGTTTGATCCTAGTTTGAAAATTCGGTCTCATATCATAAATTGGGGTTGGATCGTGATTTGACAGTTGGGTCTCAAGTCGGGTCAAGGTCAGTTCTCAATTTGAGTGTCAAGTCTTTGATCAGAATTTGAGGTTAGATCTTGGGTTGTGTATCGGGTCAGTTCCCTACTGAAGTGTCGAGGTGGTGTTTTAAGTAAGGTTTTGGAGTCTGGTTTCGTGCGAGGTTGGGTCCCAAGTCAAGTGTCGTATTTCAATCCTAAATCAATCATCCATGTCTGGTGTCAAAGTCAAATTTCGGGTCGGATGTTAGGGTCTTGGGTCAGGATTTGGTCTCCGTTCCCAATTTCAAAGTTTGGTTTCGGATCGGGAGTCAGGGTTTAGTCTCGAGTAGGGTGTTAAGGTAGCATCATAGTTCGGAAGTAACAGTTGAATCCTAGTTTGTAAGTCAAATCTTAGGCATTAGAGGGGATCAAATTCCGAATCAAATGTTGGATCTCTCGTCGAGTGTTGGGTGTCGAGGACGGGTTTAGTCGGGTCCCAATTTGAGTGTCGGGTCAGATCTCGAATTCGTAGATGTGCCCATGTTTGGGGTCGGAGTGGCAGTTAGATCCTAGTTTGATTGTCATTACCTGAATCGAGAGTCAGGTCTGCTCTCAATTTGGAAATTTGGGTCAGACTCTGAATCGATCATCATTGTTGGATCTCGGTTCGATTATCAGGGTTGAGTCCTAGATGGATTATGAGGATTTTTCAGTGTCAGAAAATATTTTCCTAAAAAGTATTTTCTACTCCATAGCAAAAAATAAAATATGCTTTCTGGAAAATGTTTTCATTCACCAATCAATCTCTAGAAAATATTTTTTTTAAAAAAAAAACTCTTCAAAAATATTTTCTACTCACCGGCTCAACATGAAAAAATATAGAAAATATATAGAAATTAACTTATTTTTCAAAAATATTTCTCGTACCAAACATTCTAAATTTATTTCTCGTCTACATTCTTGTTTCATATATAGTTAATTTTAGCTTTATGAGGAAGTTATCTCTAAATTAAACGAAAAGTTTAGGTACCTTATAATTAATTCAAGTTTCTCATTTTGCCTTCAAATCAATCCATTTGAGTTTGAAATTTTCCTTCACTATGATCAATTTTTTAATATCCCAATTTAGTTCCTACCTTGACCTCATGATGTTTTTTAAGTAATTGCCACCCACTACATATTCCCAAATAATAAAAAAATAATCTACTTAATTAAGATAAATTTACTAGTGTTCATTAATCTACTAATCTTGACAGTTGAACATATATAATTAATTAGTATTTGGATAACAATTAATTAAAGTCTACTTTTTGCTTAGGTCATTGGTCTAGCATACTTTTTGTAAATTATGTTTTATAAATTAACAAAATAATTATGTTGATCTCTAAGCCAAAGAATAAGTCTTTTGAGTTGGTCTTAATCTATAATCCATATTAATTACCTCATATAAACTTTTTTTTTTTAAAAATGATACCTAGGAATTATTCAAGTGTAGAAAATCTAATTAGTGGTATAGTGTTAGTTGAACTTGTATTAAATCATTTTTGAAAGTGGCCAACCATTTATTCCTTAATGAAAGTCCACTTCTTCAAAAACATTTTTAAAAAGACTCAATTAATATTTGTTATATATATATACACACACATCAAAGTCTACTAATTAATTTAAACATTAAGAATGATACAACATTATTTTTGAGTCTTTTCTCTCAAGGTTCATGAATTAAAATGCCTTCTTAGTTAGTTTTCATAATAACCAAATAATTGAAGATTTGCTTATATATATAATCATCCAAGATATGATTAGAACCACTGTTCTGCAAGTTAATTTCAACTGTGTTATGTGCAAAAAATTTGTTCTTCAAGCCATTTCAAGACGTGAAGGTAATTCATATTTAACAAAGAAAAAATATAATGAAAAATAATTGTTTTATTTTTATTATTTTCATGTCGATACGATTACTTTAGATCTAATGTTTTTTTTGATAGCTATGGTAATTCATTTAGGAGTGGTTGAAGGGGAGAACATAACACCTATGCTTTAGGCCTCCAAAAAATTAAAAGTCTCAAATTTTCTTATTGGTATTTTTTTCTTAGTGATGTTGATTTTTAATAATTTTATTTCTCTTAAATAATATTGAAGTTAAAAGGAAAAAATAAAAAGGTAAAATCTTTATA